GAAGGAGAAGTTTTACAACAGTCAACAGTCTAATTTATACTGTTCGTTAGCTTATATGGTCACTTTGTTGGCATGCACACCAAAGGGTTTTCAAGGATAGTCATCTTTTGCATTTCTTTTCTTCTATCACATTCATCGTGTTGAAGTTTTGGTGAAGGAACCTTTGACAATAATTTGATTATAGCTCTCCAAAACTGATTTGATCCGCGAAATGATCCTTACAATTGTTTTAAAGATGATCATTTGGAATCTTGCTGCAAACTGCGCAGTGAGTGCCCATTCCTACAAGAAATTATGACATGGTAAGTCCTGCTGTTCGTCTTCACAAGTAGCTTCACTCTCAACCATTTCTTCATTGATATCACATTGGAGTGCTCGATCTTGATCGGAATCACAATCTTCCTCCGACATTTCATCGCACAATCTGCTTTGTGCGAATTCGTGGGCGTCTCGATCGTATATGTTCCATCCTGTTTTGTCTAGATTGGAATTCTCGTGAGTCGGATTGGCCGAGTTCGACTGGGATTCATGTCCAACAATGCGATGACATCAACGTCTCGTAATAGGGTATCGGTCGCACTAGGAAAGGTGGCTGGATTGGCCTTGCACTGTGGTGATTAACGACTGAAATAGTGGGAAGCTGCTGAACGTGAGAGGTATTCGTAGGTTGTGATAAGCAACGGTGGGCCGCAAAAATTTTTCTAACTTTGTTTTAGCCCCAATGCCCCAAACGATCATTTAATTACTTTTTATAAAGCAAAACGTTGAAGAAGCCTTCCCAAACGGTCCCTTAGTCTTGGCTAGTTCATGGATCCAAGGGCTCTTTTCTGACCAAGCTTTTGTTATCATTTTATTGGTTCCCTGTTCTAGCTATTATAGTTATTCTATTATTGTTGTATTTCTGATTTTCACCCCTTAATTTCATACTTTTCCTACTTGAGAAGTTCATAGGATTGTATAAATTTAGCAAATATGGCGAAATAAAATACAACCAATTCTTCAATTCCTGCAAAGGCTAATGCTGATAATGTTATTTTTAATAAACAAACTCCTCTTGAAGATTTGGCATCTATCTAACATACAAAAAGCTAGTTGAATGATATGCTTTTTATGGGCATCCAAAAGTAGTACCCTGAATAAAACACCTTCTTTGTCAGAGTATGAGCATATAGTTATTCCAATTTTTTCGATACAACAACAACAACAACAACATCATCAAGCCTTTATCCCACTACGTGGGGTCAGCTACATGGACCCTTTTTCTCCCTTGTGTCATGTTAAGAGTAAATTTCTCGTTTAAATCTAATAAAAAAAAGTCATTTTTAATATTTTCTAAACAAGTCTTTTTAGGTTCACCTCTATCTTTCTTAACATACCAAATCTAATACATCTACTTTCGTAATCGGTCATCAAAAGGCTGTTGTTTTATGTGGCCAAACCATCGAAGGCAACCTTCACTAATCTTCCACTGGAGCTACTCCAACCTTTAGTTAAATTTATGGGAGTTTTTTATTGCACAATAATCCCAATGTATTCCTCCACTTCAACCATCCAATTTGAATTCTACTAATAGTATCCCCATCTATTTTATCATCACTCTGAACAATAAACCCAAGATATCTAAAACATGTACTGTTATTAATGATTTAATCGCCCAAAGTCACAAACCCCTCACTAGATTTATTACTGCTAAAATTACGCTCCATATATTCATTTTTATATTTACTCAAACGAAAACCTTAAGATTCTAAGTTTGACCTCCATAATTCAACTTTACCCCTCAACTCCCTCTCTAGCCTTTTCAACAAGAAGAATATCATCAGCCACAAAAACATACACCAGGATACAACCTCTTGCAAATGACTAGTGAGAACATCCAAGCAATAACAACATCAAGCCTTTGTCCCATTACGTTGGGTCGGCTACATGAATCATTTTTCGCCATTGTGTCCGGTTAAAAGTTAAATTCTCATTTAAATCTAATAAAGAAAGTCCATTTCTAATATTTTTTAACCAAGTCTTTTTAGGTCTACCTCTACCTTTCTTAACATAAGCCAAATCTAATATCTCAACTTTCATAACCGGGTCATCGGAAGGCCTCTGTTTAATGTGACCAAATCATCTAAGGCGACTCTCTCTAATCTTATCTTCCACTGGAGCTACTCCAACCTTTTCACGTATATGCTCATTTAGTATCCTATCTCTAAGGGTCAAGCTACTCATCCACCTAAGCATTATCATCTCTGCAACACTTAACATAGTATTATGCTTATCTTTTAATGGCCAACATTTGACACCATAAAGCATTGAGTCTCACCACCATCTTATAGAATTTTCCCTTAAGTTTGAGGGGGACTTTTCTATCGCACAATAAGCCCGATGCATTCCTCCACTTCAACTATCTAACTTGAATTCTGCTGATAATATACCCATCAATTGCACCATCACTTTGAACAATAGATCCAAGATATCTAAAACGTGTACTCTTATTAATGACTTGATCGCCCAAAGTCACAATCCCCTCACTAGGTCTATTACTACTAAAATTACTCTCTATATATTCAGTTTTAGATCTACTCAAATGAAAGTCCATAGACTCTAAGGTTGACCTCCATAATTCAAGTTTACCTTCAACTCCCTCTCTAGTCTTATCAACAAGAAGAATATCATCAACAAAAAACATACACCAAGGTACATCCTCTTGCAAATATCTAGTGAGAACATCCTTGACTAAAGCAAAAAGATATGGACTTAAGGTTGATCCTTGATGTAATCCAACCTAAAAAGGAAAATACTTGATCAAACATACATATCTTTAATGATTTAAATATAAACATTATTAACTCCTCTCTTTTCAAGGACTCTCCATAGCATTTCTCTTGGAACTTTATCATAATCTTTCTCTAAATCAATAAATATCATATGTACATCCTCCTTATTTTCTCTATATTTTTCCATCAGACCTCTCAATAAATGTATGGCTTCCATAGTAGACCTACCCGGCATGAATCCAAATTGATTTTGAGAAACATTAGTATCACGCTACAACCTACGCTCCATAACTCTCTCCCATAATTTTAAAGTATGACACATTAATTTAATTCATCTATAATTCACACAATCTTATGCATCACCTTTATTCTTAAAAATAAGTATCAACACACTCATTATTCACTCATTTGACATCTTTTTAGTCTTCAAAATAATATTAAAAAGTTTAGTAATTCAGGAAATTATTTCATCTCCTAAGCATTTGACACCGCTATTGGAATATCACCAATTCCAACAACCTTTCCACACTTCATTTTCTTTAAATGTTTTTATAACTTTTGATAAAAATAAAATATTTATTTTCATTTAGATTGCTAAGGTCACTAAAGTAAATCATATTCTCACAATCTTCATTAAATAGTTTAGCAAAATATCTCATCCATCTTTGATGAATATCATCTTCTAGTAAAAGCACTTTTTGGTCTTCATCCTTAATATATTTCACTTGAGCTAAATCCTTACTACTATCTCTTTGTTTGACTAATTTATACATATATCTTTTGCCCTCATTAGTATCTTAACTATTTTATAAATAATTAAAAGCTAAAATCTTTGCATCGCATATTGTTTTCTTAGACTCCTTATGAGTTTTTATATCTTACCTAATTTTCAGAATTTTTACATCAAAACCATTTTTTATAACAACTCTTCTTTTTTTTTTTTAATCTTTTCTTACATATTTTTATTCCGCCACCAACTATTTTTACTATTAAATGTTTTTCTTTGATACTCCAAGCATATCTTTTGCAACATTCTTAATATCATTAGCTATTTTTTTACATAATATTAGCTTCCTCATGCACAGATAAAATATTAAGATGTAGTATCTTATTATCAAAAATATTTTTATTAATATTCTTTAAATGCACCCATCTAATCCTAGAACAACGTTTTACTTTATTTTTTATTTTTTGCCCTTTAATCTTAAAATCCAAAACTTATAAGCGATGTTGGATACGTAAACTTTCACTCGGAATAACTTTACAATTTTTGCATTATAAACGATCTATTTTTCTTATAAGAAATGATCAATTTGAGTTTTATTATTTCCATTCTTAAGTGATAAGATGCTCATTTCTTTACTTAAATAAGATTTAGTAATTACAAAATCATAAGCAATAGAAAAATTTAGTATGGTCTTACCTGTTTATTAGTCGCTTTAAACCTATAGTCACTATGAATGTTTTTAAAATCAACAACCTCTCTACAAATATGTCCATTTAATTTGTCCAATAAAAACCTCTTTCTTCAAAAGACATCTTTTGTATTAATTCTTACAAGGCATTCCAAAATTTTAATTGTGAACACAGATCTAAACCTACTTGAGGAGCATAAGCTCTTATAATATTAATAATCTTTGCATCAACTACAATCTTTAAAGCTATAATTATATCTCCAATTCATTTAATTTTTATAATATTATCTTTCAAACTTTTATCTATAATCACATATACACTATTTATAGTATCACTTCTACCAGAATATCATAGTTTAAATCGTAAACTATCAATCGCCTTTGCCTTCTCTCCAACCTATTTATTTTCTTGAATGCATAGAATATTTATCTTCCTATGAATCATAATATATATTAATTCCATTAATTTGTCTATAGGGAAACCTATATTCTAAGTTTCTATCCTAATTTTAATTTCATTGACTAGCTTCTTTGCTTGCATTCGTCCATGATGTCGGAAACATTGCCTATTTAATAATGCACCTGGCCGTCGGTGCAACGGCTCTTGCAAATTTGTCACTATATTCAGGTTATACAAAGTGTCGCTTCTAATTTTCTTGATGATTCAGTAATATTTGATATCATTTTCTTAGTCTTAATGTTGCTGCCAGCTTCTAGTTTTAAGTTTTTGACATGCACACAAATCTTTTAAATCTCTAGATTTCTCTGAAGTCTGAACTCAACGATTGTACGTTATCTTCTTTTTATTCAACAGATGACGCCAAAGGAAGCATTCAGGATGCTTTCCCACAAGTTTCATGGTAAAGGCCCGGGAAAGACGAAGATAGAAAAGCGTATGAAGCAATATCTGGAAGATTTAAAGACAAAACAAATGAAAGCTTCTGACACACCATTATTAGCAATGGAAAAAATGAGAGAAGCTCAAGCTAGACTGAAGTCGCCTTACCTTGTACTCAGTGGTCATGTAAAGCCAGGGTAAAACTTTTTCTTTATTCCACCTTTGCCTTTTCTTAGTTATCTCTGTTTTTAGAAGTTATTAAATGAGAATTTTTGGTGAGAAATCATTTCGAAAGAGCATAATAAAGAATTATAATAGATTGAGTTCAAAGAGCAAAGTTAAATTAGTTCAATGATAATGCATAAATTGTGTTGGTACCAGTGTTAGAAATTTCCACAATGGAAGTGATTTTTGTGATTAAGTTATTTAGCTGAAGTTACAGAGAGCAAAAATATTTTTCGTTCACATTATTTTTATTGATATTGAACAATCATATTATCAGATACAATAATAATTGATTGGGTGTGAGCTCAAAAAAATAAAAATAATAAATAAAAAGGGTTTGTCAAATGTATGTGGAGGTTGTTAAGGATTTATATGAAGCAATGACTTACATCAACAGTTATAGAGTTGATCAAACAGTTCTCAATCCAAGGACCATTATATCAAAGATGAATATTAAGTTGACACCTTTACGTGTTGGTATTGAAGATGCTTGCAAAAGGTGTTCAATGCATGAAATGTTAGTGTAAACTTGGTTTAATTATATTTGATTGTTGAATAATGAAAATATAGATACTACAACAATAGCAACAACAACAACAACAATAACAAGCCTTTATCCCACTGTGGGGTCGGCTACGTGAATCATTTTTCTTCATTGTGTTTTGTTAAGAGTTAAATTCTCATCTATAAATAAATGTCATTTCTAATATTTTCTAACCAAGTCTTTTTAGATATATGTCTATCTTTTTTAACATAAGTCAAATCTAATACATCTACTTTCCTAACCGGGTCATCGAAAGGCCGCTGTTTTATGTGAGCTAACCATCTAAGGCGACTCTCTCTAATATTATCTTCCACTGGAGCTACTCCAACCTTTTCACGTATATGCTCATTTCATATACTGTCTCTAAGAGTAAAGCCACTCATCCACCTGAGCATCCTTATCTCTGCAACACTTAACTTAATATTATGCTTCTCTTTTAATGGCCAACATTCTGCACCATAAAACATTGCTGGTCTCATTACCATCTTATAGGATTTTTCCTTAAGTTTGCGAGGGACTTTTCTATCACACAACAAGCCCGTTGCATTCCTCCACATCAACCATCCAACTTGAATTCTACTAATAATATTCCCATCTATTTCACCATTACTCTGAACGATATACCCAAGATATCTAAAACGTTTACTCTTATTAATGACTTGGTCTTGCAAAGTCACAATCTCCCTACTATATCTATTATTATTAAAATTATAGTCTATATTTTCAATTTTAGATCTACTCAAATGAAAGAATTTAGACTCTAAGGTTGACCTCAATAATTCAAGTTTAGTTTCACTCCCTCTCTACTCTTATCAATAAGAAGAATATCATCAACAAAAAGCATACATCAGGGTACAATCTCTTGCAAATGTCTAGTGAGAACATCCATGACTAAAGCAAAAAGATATGGGCTTAAGGCTGATCCTTGATGTTATCCAACTGAAATTGGAAAATACTTGGTCAAACCACTTTATGTTTGAATACAAGTAACAACTTCTGCATACATATCCTCAATAACTTGAATATAAGCATTATTAATCCTTTTCTTATGTAGAACTCTCCATAACAATTCTCTTGAAACTTTATCATATACTTTCTCTAAATCAATAAAAATCATATGTAGATCCTCCTTATTCTCTCTATACTTCTCCATCAAACCTCTTAATAAATGTATAGCTTCCATAGTAGGCGTACCTCGCATGAATCCAAATTGATTTTGAGAAACATTAGTGCCACGCCGCAACCTATGTTTCATAACTCTCTCCCATAATTTTAAAGTATGACACATTAACTTAATTTCTCTATAATTCGCACAATATTGTGCATCACCATTGTTATTAAAAATAATAATCAACACACTCATTCTCTACTAATCTGACATCTTTTTAATCGTTAAAATAATATTTAGAAGTTTAGTAAGCCAAGAAATTTTATCTCCTAAACATTTTCACACCTCTATTAGAATATCATTTAGTCCAACAATTTTTTCACACTTCATTTTCTTTAATGCCTCTTTAACTTGGGTTTTACTAATATGTCGATAAAAACATGAATCTTTATTTTCATTTAGAATGCTATGGCCACTAAAGTCATTGAAAAGTTTAGCAAAATATTTCATCCATGATCCACCTTTGTTGAATATCATCTTATACTAAAAGCACTTTTTGATCTTCATCCTTAATACACTTCACTTTAACTAAATCCTTACTACTATCTCTTTATTTAACTAACTTATACAATTATCTTTTGCCCTCCTTAGTATCTAATATGTTTTATAAATCATTAAAAGTTAAAATCTTTCCATCGCGTATTACTTTCTTAGACTCCTTATAGGCCTCTTTATATCTTTCCTAATTATCAGAATTTTTACAGCTAAACCAATTTTTACAATAAATCTTATTATTTTTTATTTTTTTTGCACATTTTGATTCTACCGTCAACTATTTTTACTATTAATAGTTTTTTCCCTTTGATACTTCAAGCATATCTTTTGCAACATTCTTAATATCACAAGCTACTTTTTTTTACATAACATAAACTTCCTCATGTACGAATAAAATCTTAAGATGTAGAATCTTATTAGCAAAAAATATTTTTACTAATATTCTTTAAATGCCCCCATCTAATCCTAAAACAACGTTTACTTTATTTTTTATTTTTTCCCCTTCATCTTAAAGTTTAAAACTAATAAGCGATGTTGGATACATAAATTTTTACTTGGAATAACTTTACAATCTTTGCAATATAAATGATCTATTTTTCTTATAAGAAATGATCCATTTGAGTTTTATTATATACATTCTTAAGTGATTAGATGATCTTCTCTTTTCTTAAATAAGTATATTAGCAATTATAAAATTATAAGCAATAGAAAAATCTAATATGATCTTAATTACATTTATTAGTCACTCAAAACTCATATCCACCATGAATACTTTTAAAATCAACAACTTCTCTACCAACATGTCAATTTAAATTTTCTCTAATAAAAATCATTTTTTTTTCAAAATGCATCTTTTATATTAATTTTTCTAAGGAATTCAAAAAAATTAATTTTGAACACAGATCCAAACCTACTTGAAGAGCATGAGCCCTTATAATATTAATAATCTTTACATCAACAACAATCTTTGAAGCTATAATTCTATCTCCAATTCTATTAATTTTTACAACATTATCCTTCAAACTTTTATCTATAATCATACCTACACTATTTCTAGTATGACTTCTACCAGAATATCATAGTTTAAATCCTAAACTATAAATCTCCATAGCCTTCTCTCCAACTCATTTAGTTTCTTGGATGCATAGAATATTTATCTTCCTATGAATCATAATATCTATTAATTCCATTAATTTGTCTGTAAGGAAATCTATATTCTAAGTTCCCGATCATGATTTTAGTTTAATAGACTAGCTTCTTTGGCAACATCTATCAATGACGTGGGAAACCCTTGCCTATTTAACACTACATCGACGCCTGTTCAGTGACCCTTGCACTATACTTGTCGCTATATTCAGGTCATACAATGCGTTGCTTCCATGGATTGTCCTAGCATTAACACAATGTATTAAATGATTCATGTTATGATTATTCGACAAGTTTTATGTTGGTTGTCGACTACCTAATGCAACCCTCCATTTTTCTCATCTAGGACTTGGGACAATGTTAAATAATGAAAATATAGATAATGAGGTAGTTTTAGCGTTAAGGTTTTATAATTAAAGCTAGAAGTAACTTTGTAGTACATGCCATAAGAGAATATTCTGTAGACTTAAATTTGAGTTTTTATAATCTGACCAAATGTATTTTATGGTTGTGAGCACTGGTTGATAAAAAATCCCTAATAGTTTCCTTGAGGGTGCATGATTAAGAATGTTAAACTGGATTAGAATGTATTGTGAAATAATTTATATGAGAAGGAAAATAGGAGTGACAAATATTAAAGATGAAGTAATGCAAAAAATATTTTATTGTTTGGCCATGAATCCAAGAGCTCTAGCTGAAGCGGTATGTTCTCTGATTTCCAGGATTGGGCTCACTAGTTCGAGTTCAGCTTATGACATTCTTTAAATTGAATATTCATTAACTATTTACCAGAAATTTTTCTGTAATTGATTTTGTACCGTCATCATCTATACCTACCTTGTGGCTGCTTATCAGTAAGTAGACTTATGCTCTACTTTAGAGCAACTAGTGTGTTAAGGCTAATAATGATGATAATAATTTTCCAGAGTTCTTGACATCCGCTAATTTTCTCCATTCCTCTACTACAGCCAAACCAGTGATCCAAGAAGTGGTTTTGCTACAGTGGAGAAAGACAATCCGGGGAGCTTGACTCCAATGCTTGGGGACAAAAAGGTCTGTATTCCGTTATCACTGCAATTTGATTGCATTTGTATGTGCATGGTAGGATTTTTTTCACCAACAAACTTGTTGGCCCAGTTAATGCGATCATGGGACTGTCATTTTTTAAGAGATTGCTGCGAATTCAAAGAATTTGACTTCATCTTGATCCTTATAGTTAGTGTTAAAATTCTTTCGAATAGCTCCTATTCCTTTGACCAATTTCTATCTTCGCAAATCATGAAAGAACCTTGCTTATTTTAAATGAACAACTTAACGGGATCAAAATGGCGTTCCTTTATTCCTGATGTACGGTCTTTATGGAATTGCAAGCTGTTGTTTGCCTTCTTGCGATGTGATGACTTACGAAATACCAAATAGCAGGTTTAGGATTGAATTCTTTGATCATGATTATCATTGATGTGCCTTTTCCTATATAAAGTGAAAAAAGAAAATTTTAATGGAAGCTACGCCATTTATGTATTTCACAGGTTGAGCATTTCCTTGGTATAAGGAGCAAGCCTGACTCTGACATGGGCCCTCCACCACCAAAGAAACCAAAGATATAAATCCTTAGACTACTGAAGCAATTCCCTGCAGCAAGAGCATTTGATGTAGCTGTCTCAAACATAATATCTCGGCTAGTTGGTGCATGCTATCTAATACAGGTTCCGTTCTGACTTACCATTTTGAAGCACAAGAGGCAAATTTGTTATGCTTGCTAGTTTGAAGCCAATATTGCCTATTTATTTACGATGTGGTCAGATTCCTTGTCAAAAAGTTCCTGTAGCTTTTGTTCCTGGGGAGGATTGGCAATTATCAGGCGAAAGTTCATATTCTCTAACGCTCTCAACTTATTATAGCAGCTGCAGCACCATTATCACTGTGCTATTTTCTTTTTTTATTGTTTATTTCTATGATGATTTGCTTTTTTACTCCAGGGAATAGTTATTGTAATTGTATGGCTTGAGGATTGTGTGGGCAATACGCACGTCAACATGATATTTTGATGGATGATAACATGTAATTAATGTTTTGATGATAAAAATGTGATCTGCTTGTGAGGAGATTGATTAGCTTAATTCACCTGTTGCTTATATATGAACAATTATCCAAGGCTACTACTGGTATGTGCTGCAGATTCAAACAAGGTTTACTATCGCAGACAGGCAAGTTTTAGAAGTGAGGTTTGAGGCCAGTTTTGTTTTTTTTAATTAATGGCAATAAGAATAACAATATATACAATATAATAATATTACAACTATTATTAAGAATTGGGAAACCCAGGCTATGAACGCATTAGAATTTTTGTTTGGTGACTGATTGATTGTCCTTTGGTGCCTTTTTTTTATCCTGTAAGTTGAGTTAGCGTAAAGGTTTTGCAGCTAAAAACGAGGATTTAGTCCCATGTTAGTAGCTCCACATACTAACATGGCACAAAATCCTCATTTTTTGTGAATTGGGAGACCAGGCTATGAACGCATTAGAATTTTTGTTTGGTGACTAATTGATTGTTCCTTGGTGCCTTCTTTTAACCCTGAAAGTTGAGCTAGGGTGATGGTTCTGCACTAGATTAGTGAAAAACGAGGATTTTTTGCCATGTTAGTGGCTCCACATGTGCAAGTTGAATGATTCATATTTTGATGCTCATCTGGGTGATTGTAAACATGACAAACTGCACCTTGATCTGGGTTCGATAGGCCTAGTATTCCAACTAAACTGACCTAAGGCCAACCTCACCTGTCTACATCACAGTTGCTAAGCTAAGGAGAATGTGTGAGCTGGCTGGACTATGCGAATGCCTGTAGCTCACTTGTTACACCTTCTCTTGCAATGATGCAGTCCATTGCATGTTATTTTGTGGCTTCTTTTGAGAGATGAGTTGGGAAGGAGTGGGGAGGTTGCACGTAAGGGCATCTCATTACCATTACCAATAATCTACAAATTTGCAGAGCAGAGATAACTCCACTAGGTACTAGTGTATGTTCCTCACTGCACTTTTACTCGTTAACATTCATGTTTATTCCTCGGTATTTGCCTGGCCTAGTTCTTATTGCTGCTGAGCGTTGGTCCTTTGATTTTTATAGAACATGGCCTGGGACTAGGCTTTAATTGCCGCTTGGATTTGAGAGGGCGAAATTTTCTGGAGTAAAATATTGAGTGATTTGGTACCCCTTTTGTCAAAAGTGAGGAAACCTTTTTTTGATTGCACTAAATTAGCATTATCAACAAGTGTACTTTTTTTTTTGTGACGAGGAAGCACTGTCTTTAGGCCAGTGAAAATTCCGGTCAACCTAGCATGCAACTTACACGGGTCAACACTTAAGGCTTTCACTGCTTGCCAAGGGATTCGAACCAAGGACCTAGGCTTTGCCCAGCAGGCTCGTCACCACCCGGATAAGCAGCGATGGGTTCAACAGTGTACTTTTGTGCTATCAAAGGATGTCGTTGTTACCTTGCTCGTTGGAGATAAAATTATTAAGAAATCTATTCATGCCAATGGAGTTCCTATTCTATTTAGAGGGAGGGAGCCGGTTATTAATAGGAGACAATTCTCACTTGGTTGCTTTTTTTTTTTTTAGGCGGGCTGCTCGCTCTCATTGCTTTCTCATAGTGTTGTCAGAGTCAAAATTTTTTGATTTGAGATTACAACGAAATAAGTCTGCCAGAGGGTTTCTTGTGCCCTGCCCCGCTTGTTGCCTTCCTCCATCTCCTCCAGCTTCATCGGGAGGACAGTTGCTGGCCTTTGAGTGCAGCAGCATTAGAAATTGAAGCCACGACATTAAAGTCTCTCTTTACACTAATTTTAGATTCAACATGCGGCATTATGGCATTGACAATATATATATATATAGTTCATAGATGAGTTACTTAGTTCATTGTTTACTTATGGTAGAGTTATTTAGTTAATCGTTTAATTGTTGCTTAGTTCAAGACTTGGGAAAAATTTCTTGGCTATCTTTAGGCGAGTGTCAATATCATCACAAACTTACACCTATCATCTACATAGGAAGAGTTGAGTTCAACCGTTAGAGATAAATTTAAAGTTTATAATTGAGTAGACATAAAAACAAAGAACAAGATGAGTAAGAAAAACTTCTATTTCATTTCACTTTAAAAAATACATTTACAATTTGTCTTACAAAAAAAAAAAAGAAGAAGATAGAAGAGAAAATATTGCAAAATAAGGCAACTATACTCACTAGTCACACTCGCACCGTCACTTTCCTCTACATATTGGTCGCATCAAAGAAGAAGGCAGGTTCTTCAAACTTTGGGTTAAGCTCGCCCATGGAGACGATATTTCTCAATCAGTACTCAATTTCCTCTTTATACTTGAGGCCTAGGATTCCCCAGCACTAGGTGGGAATTGAAGAAGGCGACTACTTATCCTCTGTTGCCTTGACCTTATCTAACAACTTGGTGGCTTCATCCTCTGTGAGCTCCTTTGCCTACTATGCAACTTCCTTTTAGGCCGACTCCTCCAATTCGGCCTTGAGGGCCCCCACCTTTTTGATGAATCTCTCCCACAATTTGTCACTCTTGTCCTCAATGGCGAGTCATGCCAATCTTTCCTCCTTTAAGTAGCTCTAAATAGAGGTGTAAGCCTTTTGCTAGGATCCCACCCATGTAAGCCTGATTGATGGGTATTTATAAAGGATGGATGATGCGCAAATATCTAAGTGTCATTCATATAGACAATAAGTGCCTAAAATCTGCACATACTTTTCATCATTATTACAACAAGATACAAAGGGCTTCTTCTTCGTCAACCTAACAAGTAGTTGCCAATCAACACATTCCATCAACTCACCTATGAACGGTGTATTAAACACCTGGCTAAAGAACCCTCCTTATTAGAAAATCATCAAATGAAAGGAGGACGCCACTCACCAAATAAGCAGAAAGCTAGTCCCTCAAAGCTAAGTCACTAACTTGCCATTATAAAAAAGAGGAATAAAGAACACATAAATATTATAAGTATTATTCTCTTCCATATCATAACATCCATAATAGACATACAAGTACTCACCATAGCAATACAATTTAATATCTACATTATAATACAAATAATCAAACATGAGAGTACTTCCCCAAACACCAAAATTTTATTTATTTACTTAGCAGTTAGCAAAAAAGTTTTAACTTTAATTTTTATACAAACAAGAAAAATAAAGAATGGGCGAAGCTACTCGCCAACACCAAAAATCCTACATACAGAGTTAGCCACTGCCCCAAGCAAAATCAACCCTAACTCTTATAAGTATCTAACGAGGATCCTCCCGTCTTCAATGAATGGAGTTTTCATCAAAAGACGGTAAGTCGCCGTCATTTCAAATTGTAGGTCCACCATGTCCCTTATAAGGTAGATGTCTATCTATGAGGTGATGCCCTTATGGGAGTTCCATCCTTCACCAACTACCCCGTGCAAGTTGAGAATCTTTTCCATGCACTGATTCACTATGCTAGAACCTTAAGTGTGGTTGGCTCCTGAGCTACGAAGTCATCACTTAATGTAACGAAGTAACCGGTGGAGAAGGACGAAGTGTTCCGATTCTGGATTGTGCATATGCTGACATAGTTGATTGACCGCAAATGCTATATCAGGTCTTGTTATAGTTAGATACTGTAAAGACCCCGTCAATTGCCTGTACAATTTTGGATCAGGAGAAATGCCATGAGCTTTGTTATTGTTGACAGGTTTTGTAGTCGCGGGATTTGCCAGGGGCTTGCACAGGCTCATGTCAGCGGAGGTAAGGATGGAATTCGCATATTGTTCTTGAGATAACAGATAGGAATTTTGATCTTTGGAGATCTTGATTCCCAAAAAACTGTGTGCTGGCCCGAGAACTTTCATATCAAATTTTTGGTTTAGCTGCAAGATAATCGTGTCAAGTAAGGATGAATCATTTCCAGTTATTAAGATGTCATCAACATATATAACCAGGTATAACCGACTGGTATTAGTATGTAGTGTAAATAGAGAAGAGTCGGCTTTGGCCGGAGAGAAACCAAGAGTTATAAGAAAGTTAGAAAAAGTTTGGAACCACTGACGAGGGGCCTGTTTAAGGCCTTAAATTGCTTTCTTTAGCTTACAAACGTAGTCAGGGTGATGAGTATCCTCAAAGCCGATAGGTTGCTGCATGTAAATGGTCTCGTCAATGCTGGGCAAATATCACAGCCAAAAACAATATTGGCAAACCTCTCATCAAGCTTGCAAAATAATTTCAATCAAAGATCTTGTTAGCCTATCATACTTTCTTGGTAAGATTAAGTGTCCATTTGAGACCCTTAACAAATTCAAATTTATTAATGCTCTATTTGAGATAGTTGTAATTTTTTATAAAGATTGTCTTAAAGTTATTGTGAAGAAAATATTTTTTTTAAAGCTACTGTAAAAAGAATATTCCTAACATAAAAAAAGCTATTAAAAATAGTGAATAAATTGCGACGGTTGCGCTGTGAAAAACAAAGTAATAAGAAAATTATTTTTTGTAGTTCACATCTCCTCTATTGTAGCCTCACAGTTTTAGTGGGGCAAAGCAAGTGTTGGTCCGATGCTAGTGAGTGGCCACGTTAGGTTCCGCCGAGGGATTAGTTATGCCGCCAAGTGCTCTCTTCGGAGTGATAACGGGTAGATACCCGTTCAAAAAAAAAAAAAAAAAAAAAAAAGAGAAAAAGTGTGTTTGTTTATGACAACATATAACCATCAATCAATGTCAAAAGATAGCCTATGAATGTGAATGCACATGCCATGGTTGAAATTTCATGCACTATGTAGAAGGTAAATATAAATAAGTAAATTCATGACATCCAAAGGAGAAATTATTCTTTGCCGAGCCAGCTTAATCCTGCAATGTATCCTTAAACTTCTTACTGAGCGATTGTCTTAGATATTTGGGCATACAAACCACCAGAGGACGACATTGTATCCGCTAGCTCGTCAGAGTCGAGCTTTTTTTAACACGGGGAGAACTGATGCAGATCACGTTAATACCTGAGCCTATGCAGGACATTTTATCTTCCTTAACAAACTCATGCATTCGCCACTTTCTTATTTAACAGTACTGCTTGCTAGATG